TTTGGGGTAACAGCACCTCGTGGATGAGTCCCTGAGCCCCTCCTGGTTACTGAGATCATTTTGCCCATTGATAGCTTTAACTTAAACCTTTTTAATGCTTGTTTATGTAATCCCTAGTAGAAGTGAATGTGGCATCCAGGAGGGTGGGTGAGTCTAATGGGAGTAACTCCTGTTCGCAGCCACCGCCCTACGCAGCTGCCGCCTTAATGGATCCGCAGTTTTTCAGGATTATTGTAAAAGTTATAGTAAGGCTGGGGGTGCCTTTATGGGGTACCGGGGTATGGCAATAAGGCCCATGGCAGAGAAACTGAGTGCAGGTCAGTACAGTAACACAATGAAGGTGAGGTCCAGAACTCGTAAAACTGTTGACCTTGCAAACAGTTCTCCTCAGCCGAGTCCTTGCTCTAGGCACGAGGGGCAGTTCTTTCATACTCAGCTTGTGTTAACTGCATGATCCAGCAGAATGGCAGCATGGTCACGTACCATTGGGGGGTGCTTTCTCCCTTTCTCTCTTTCCTGTCCTGGAGGAGGACATATGCCTTCTGGCAATGGGAAAAAAAGAAGAAAAGAAGATCATAACCAAGTTCTCTATAAATGTGAACACATCTCCTACACTTTAAGGAACTATGCTCTGAGCCAATATGCAGGCCTACAAAATAATGACATTTGCTCGTCCAACACATTTGTAGTGGGTTGCCTATGACCCCAAAAAGGATATATGTCAAATTCTTCATGACACTTAAAAATGATAATATTATTCATGTCTCTTGTGTATTTTATTATAAATGGTTGACACTGTCAATCTTTCTTGCTTCACAAAATTAGTAATGGCCCCTCTTTATGCCCAGATAGGGCCATGGTGTTCTACTGAACAGACATAAAGCATTGCAGAAATTATAGACACATGTACTCCAAGTTGGCTTGTGTTTGCAGTGATGCCATTCAATAATGTGAGCGACTTTAAATAGCATTAACTGCAGAATTTTTTTTCTGAATTCTGGAGCAGAAGGTGTGGTGCCAATTTTTCAAGGTGTGCCTAAAAGCAAACCTAGAATTGTAGTTCTGTCTTGTGTGCTAAGTTTTGTTACCCATCAATCTCATAAATTAAGTGTCCAATGATAGTCTATCCTGGTATTACTTAATTTTTTATAGGGAATGTAGCACGGTTTCTTTATAACTAGTAATTGCATCATCCCTACAGAATAATCATTTGTTGATCATTGAACAACCTGTTTAAAATTGATATAATTTTGTAAGGAATTGCAAATTAAATGGAATTCCCAAGTGTATGGAGATTTTTCATGTCTTAGAAATGCTTTTATAGGTGTCATTTTGTAATATTTAAAGAAAGCCAGTTCACCACGTGTAAATATTAAGTCGTTGGGAAAGTCATGACATATTTTTCTATGCTTTTCTATTCAAAAATGTGTCATGACTTTCTCAATGACTGAATATATTGTATTATTAAAAGGAAAACTATGATAGATAAACGAGTATATTGGAGTCTGTGTGTGTGTTTGTGTGTGTGTGTTTGTGTGTGTGTGTGCACATGCATGCTCAGATAAGTTTTCTGACCTTCAGTGACCTGCCATGACTATAAAAAGAAGCTGATCAAGAAAAAATTATAATAGATGTAATACAGTTATATAACACACACACATGCTAACACGCCTGTTAACACCCCCATATACACATATAAAGGATTGAGAAGAGTAACAGGCAATGGTTTGAACCTCAGCGTATAATTTAACATAACTGATTTGTTTAATTCCTTGGCCCTTTTCCTCAGCTATAAAATTGGGCTTGTAAACCTCTATTTCAAAATCTTTCACAAGCTGTGAAAAGTGACAGCTCTAAACTTTGGCATATAAAAGACACCGAGTAAATATTCACTCCTTCCTCGTACTAGGGCTTCTATAAAGATTAATAGCTTAGACAGAGCCCTGCTTAGATCACATATGTATTAATATGAGCTACACTTGGATTATTTTCAAAGTAGTCAATTTCCTTTACTCACTAAATAGCAAATTTCTTCAGTCACTTATTTTGCAAAGGCCAAAGGATAAATGTATATTTATATTATTATATTATACCAAACTTATGGTAACCAAAACTCATAGTTACCATAAGTTTCAAGTAAAAGACAGTTGGAACAGAGTTTAAATCTATCCAGTTTCAATTAAATCCATTGATTCATGTTTTCCTTTGTATTGTCTGGCTAAAGGTAGGAGAGAGAGAGAATGCTCTAAGCAATACTCAGAAATGCATCTTTATATCTTCCCATTTAGTAAATCTGGCTACTGTCCTCATGGACCTGGTTTATTGTAAAGGTCTTGTCTCTCTTGGTACCTGTGGAAGGGTAATAGCTGAAAAGTCTTCCTTCCGCAAACTCAGGAACTCACTATTCCCTATTAAATTACAGCTATAGAAATCAAATAAATGGGTAAATGGATTTTTGGGGAAAAAGGTCTTATCTCATTGGAGGGAAATCACCTACTTTGAAATTTCATGTGTTCTTTCCCATCATTGTCTCATTTTGAAATTCTTGTGCTGAGCATGTTTGAGTGGAGTTGGTCATCAAATGTATTATTACAATTCAACCACTCAGCAGTTCTTCCCCATGGACTTTCCAGTTGGAAATTTTGCAAGGTATAAAAGCACAGTATCTGCACATATCATGCTCAGTATTAATGCCCATTAAAAAATATAGTGAATGAGTAAATTACAAAAATAATAGTCGTTAACCATTAATTATGACTTTAATAGCTTATTCAATTTTACATGTGACTAATTCTCAATTTAAAGTTGTATGTTTTGGCTTCCTTTAACACATTTTTTTCCACTATAAATTTTGTGTGTGAAGAATTTTGACTGTGGTTTATAAATTTTATTAGAAATACTATTCATTATTCTCATATCATCAAAGATAATCATTCCTTTTTTCATTTTTTTCTAGAGGTTTTTGCCTTAGGGTAGATTCACTTACCAGAGAGAGAGAGAGAGACAGTGAGAGGGAAAGTGAGGAATCACCCCCCAGTGGAATGACCATGCTGCAATCCCTATTTGCGTCTTCTCTTGGGATCTTGGACATACACACGTGAGCACCTAGAGTGATTTTCTAGCCACTGGGTCTGGGATGCAAATGCATTCGGCCATGTCAGAGTTCATCAATGTAACCAATACACCATCTGCTGACCCGAATAATTCCTCTTATTATCATTCACTGTAGTATAGAGACTGAATTGTTTAGAGATCATAGAAAACCATCTGACAAAATTAAATGATTTAGTTAAATCTTTTCCAAATGCCTAGATAATAATCTAAAGAGTTTCTTCTGAGGGAATTCTTATCTGTGTTTTGAAACTACAAAACCAATCAAACAGCACTATATACCCAGAGTAGACAGGGCATACAGGATATAGGATCCATTCAATCCATGGAGAGTTATGAAAGAAGTCATAAACGTTGCCTTGGAAAGTAATGTGTATCTGTTGGTAAGAACAGCTTTTATGGAGAACAGTATGGAAGATGCTCAAAGAACTGAAAGTAGAACTGCTATGGGATCCACAATCCCACTATTGACTGTACATCTGAAAGAAAGCAAATGAGTATGTTGTAAAGATAGCTGCACTTGAATTTTATTGCAGCATTATTTACGGTAGACAAAATATGAACTCAACCTGTGTCTATCAACAGAAAAGTGTATTTTTTTAAAAAAGGGACATGTATATGGCATATATTGAATAGGTAATATTCAGCCATTGGAAAGAATAAATCCTGATATTGAAGGCAACATGGATGAGCCTGGAGGACAGCGCATTAAGTGAAATAACCCAGGCACAGAAAGAGAAAAATCGCATGCTTTCACTCATATGTAGAAACTAAAAGAATCGACTTCATATAATTAGAGAGTAGAAATGTGGTTATTAGATGCTTAGAAGGGGTGGAAAGTGGATAAAGCGATTTCTAACAGATATAAAATTAGTTAGGTAAGAGGGATAATTCTAGTGTTCTATAGCACAATAGGGTAACTGTAGTTAACAACTTATTGTAAATTTCAGAATAGCTAAAAGAGAGGATTTTAATTGTTCTCAACACCAAGTAATAATAAGTGTTAGAAATAATAAGATAGGCTAATTACTGATTTGATCATTGCATATTATATTCATGTATTTCAAAATCACACTGTACCTCAGAAATACGTACAATTATTGTCAGTGAAAAACAAAATGACACTGTACCCCAGAAATACGTACAATTATTGTCAGTGAAAAATGAAAAAAACATGCAGAAAGTAAATTGTATGAGTATATGTGTGCACATGCATGTGCATGCATGCATAGAGAGAGAGGAGCAGGGTAGGTGGTGAATTTTAGACCAAATGATGCTTACTTTGCTTCTAGCAGAATAGGACTTCAAGCAGAAATGGAAGGAGTAAATGTACTTGCTCTTGTAATCTTCAAAAGCCAGGACAACAGTTACAATTCTGAGTTACAATCCTGTTGTTTGGGGTAGTAGGTGTACATTAGTTTTCAGTAAATTAATTAGAATAGTTGTGGGTTTTTTTAATGTTGGGATACACACACACACACATACACACATTTTACTTTATGTTTTTCTTTATTGTATTATTTTGCTTCTTTGAAAACTTTATTATGATTGTCTTTCATGTTTTGTATCCAATGTGAACCAACTAAGTGGTTAAGGGCACAGTTCTCTGAAATGTAAAGTCTGCATAGCCTTGCAATTCTGAAAAGAGCTGCAAATATGAGGGTTCCCAAAACCATCCTTGGATTTAATAACTCACCAGAAAAGCAAAGGACAAACTAAAAGTTATAATACTCACAGTCATGTTTATTACAGAGAGTGAATATAAATTAAAACCAGCCAAAGGGAAAAACACCTAGGTTGGTATCTTGGAGGTGGTCAAAACTCAGAGCAAGCAAACATCCTCTGTTTATGGAATCCTAGGTGACATTACCTCCTCCAATCCATGGTGGATGGCAGTATGTGTAATGCATAGCCAACTTGGTAAGCTCCCCTGAGGCTCAATGTCCAGAGTTTTTATGAGTTTCATAGCAGAGGCATAATTGATTGAATCATTGCCCACATAGTTGAGCTAAACCTCCAGCTGTCCCATACCTATAGGCTGGACTGAAATTACGTTGTCCAAGGGGCCCACTGTGAATAACAAATACTCCTAACATTCAGAAAATTCTGAGGATTTAGGGAT